GTGTGAGACAAAGTAACATTGCATAAAAAAAAAAATTTGAAGGGAATTTTGCTGGATTTTCCTGGGAAAGGAGCAGCAGTATCGTGGGAATGATAAATCCATTTACAGGCAAAAAGTTGCAATCTTGATGAGAGTTGACATTTTATTTGGGGATAAAGGAATTGGAGGGGAAAAATGGCAAAAGCTGTAACATTATCATATGAGAAAAACAGAAATGTAAAATTTCAAGAGCAGTTTTAATTTATTTAGGATTTTTTTTTTTTTTGAGAGATAAAACTTTACGTCACGAGAATAAAATTGGAATATTGTGACAAACGTTAACATTGCCCAAGTAGAATTAGAAATAGCATCATATTCGGTATTATCGCAGTTTATTTGTCCCAATAGGTTGACACTTTCCTTGTTGTAAAATTGACTTTTCCCAACCAAGTTTTATTCGGGTAAAATTGCCCCCCATTGCCCCCCCAACTCGCATAACTGCTTGAGAATTAAATCCGTGACTTTGATTCTCGTCTTATTGTGCTTTTCTCTGAAACCGTGCAGCTCTTCTCATACTCGCTGGTCACGGCGTTTCATGCAAAGAGCTCCGAGCTTTACAGTGTATTTCCCCAAGCGCCATATTTTTGTCCATTGCAATGTCATGTGATCAGTCCATTGAGTGATACCGATTGCCATACTGTACAACCTTTCATCGTGTGCTTTAGACATACCGTAAATTGACTCGTGCTAAATAATCTCACGCCAAATCGCTAGTGTGACTTTTTTTAATTTTTTTTTTTTGGGTCATTGAACACCGTGCACGCAGCCTAAACTGTACATTGTTGAAGTGCTTTCTCAACACTCCCCTTTTGAAGATGAAGGGCACTGGATGATTTTTTTTTTCTTTTTTTAACGTTACGTCATATGCATGTTCACCATATTCAAAATCAGCGCAGAGCCGATTGTAAATAAAACGTGTTTTTGAGTGACAGACAGTTTGGATGTGATTTACTACCCGGCGTCGCCACCAATCTAAAGTGACGCTTCACCAAGCGGCGTTGCGCAATAACAGATGGGGGGGAGGGGCAGGCACGTCTGCCGCCATTTTAAGTGCCAGTCCGATGTGCTAGCGGTGCTAAAACATGGATGGATGGCTAATATCACATCATATATTTCCGACGCTTAGATGGCCACGCTGTTCTCGACGTTCTTTGGATCCAGGTAAGTGTAAGGGATCTCCAACGTTTTGTTCCTGTTGTTGATTGTGGTCGACAACTTGTCAAGCTCGGCTTTGTAATCCTTTTGCAGCTGGCGGGGGATCTCCTCTGTGAAATGGTCTTCTGGGTAATGTCCGAGGGGGACCTGTTGACACAACCGATGCTGGTTAAATGAATGTATGAGAGTTCCATAACCAAATAATTCGCTTTTGATTTGAGACACTGGACCACTTATCTACTGTCAGGCAGAAACTCGAGGGTGCGTGTGAGTCTTGCCAACCAGTCATGTACTTTGTGGAATATGTGTCCCCTCCCCCAAGCCCCACTCCCACCTGAGGTTAAAAAGTAACGATGTGCTATCCGTTGCGGTGTATAAGAGTTACAGGTAGAGCTACGTTCCTCCTCTCACCCGTGGTGACTACTTTTGGGTAGTGACTTCCCGAGGACAACGAATCTTGTTTGTCAGATCAAGTTTGTTCTACTTACAAAGTCAGAGGACTGCCTGCTGAGCAACCAGACGACGGCCATTCCCTGAACGGTCACGTTGATAACAGGCAACGTCTGCAACATTGTGGCCTCGCTGGTTGTCCCCTTTTTGGTTGGGGGAGGACGTTGCAGGGTCAGGGGGGTGTTGGGCATCCAGCCACCGTAGTCAAACTGCAATGGGGGTTTGCAAAGTGAGTCGTTTTACACCTGTTTAGACCAGAAGGAATGCCGGTGTTTCTCACCTGTCCGTTGTTTACTGCTGCATGCTGAGACGAGCTTGTAAACATCACCATGGTCGCGAATTTGATCAGCTCTGACACGGTGGTGAAACTCTGAGGGATACCTGTGAAAAAGAGCGAGGGAAAAAAAGGCGTCACCGCGACATGTTTGAGCAGCTGAGTTAAAAAAATAAATAAATTAAAAAAACGTCCATTCGGGGAGTAGCGCGTAGTGGTGTGGGATCACCTGATTGTGGCTGGGAAAGGAATCCGTGTTCGAAAATGTCCCCGATATAAGTCTGCAGTTCCGAGTCTCGTTGTATCTCGTCGTCACTTTTGTAGTAGTACTGTATCATTCCCTGAACAAATCTTTGGAGAGACAAATTGTATCGTAGTGCACGCATTCTGCCAAATACTTCATAGGTAACGACAAAATAAATTCCTATACTAAGTCTAGATCCTCAAGAATGTGATCCTTTCTTCCTCGGGCCCCATCTACAAAGTCACGTATAGCAGCGGTCCACAACCACCGGTCCTCGGTCCGTTCGGGACCGAGCAGTACAGAGACAGACCTGTGAGCTGGGCGCAAATTCACTCCATCAGACGTGACGCGGGAAATGTGTGCGACTCTTAGTCAGTCGGAGTCCTCCTTTTTAACTTGGTTGAAAAGCTGAAATCGACTGAATCGGCCAGTAAATAAAAGAAGAGGCAGTAAACAGAGAGCGACGCTAACAAATTGACGACACGTACGTCGAAAAGCGCAGCTGCCTCGCACCCATGACTTTCGAAGATGAAGCTATTGTGACAAGAGGACTTCCTCCCCGAGCGGTCGGTGCGTGCTAAGGCGACAAAACAAGGTAAGACAAGAAGCCCGTTGAACCATTTGAACAAATAGCACCCAATTGATCAAGCCGAAAGCACGAAAAAATGCGAGCCGGGTTTGCGCGGCCTGCCCACGTCAACATTAGCAGTTTAGTCGTTAATAACTAGCCGACAGCCACCGGAAATTAGCTTCAAGCAATCGTGTTATCTTTGGCAAGTAGCAATGATGCTAACGCCGCATGAAGAATCGTAACTTCAAAATTGATTGTTGACATTATCAGGCGTATTTATTATTCCTAATCGGTCCATTTCTTAATAGTTCGCCGTGTTATTTTATTTCATCCTACATTTGTGCAGAGAATAACACTATTTGAAAGGAACGAACGTTAATAAAATGTTGAATTACCGTGCTGTCAGTAGCGGTGCTATAAAGCTGGCAATTTAAAAGCAATGGAAAAAAAAAAGGTTGCTGGACCGCAGGCAGCCTGTATTTGTCTCAAGCGGTCCGTGACACAAGGTTGGGCACCACTGATGTCGAGACTGGTATTGTATTATTTTTCTTGAGGAAAATGATTAGCATACTTAAACATGATGTTCCACATTTGGAGTCCATCATCCCTGTAGTAGAAGTTTGGAATGTCCTGCATGTCGCGATCAGCAATGTCATCGGGGATGCAGAGAGATCTGTAGGTGATCGAGGACTGTGATCTTGCCAATATTTTCGTCACACTCTCTCCCCCAGAAGCCGCAAACTGAGGAAGAATCCCATACGTGACGTAATACAGTATTCAATGTCATCTTGTAAAAAAAAAAAGGTTGACTTTTACCAGAGTGAAGCTTCCTTTGGGTCCGATGAGTGTATCCCGAGCTTGTTCGTTGATCTGCAGAGTGTAGCGAGTGTGGGGTACGAGGAGCTAAAGGGATACCAGGGATAACCATGAAAGGAAAACCTGATCCAATCCGGATGTCTTGAGCAATAACAACACTCAGTTGGAAACCAGATTGGGAGAACTCCAGTTACCTTGTACAGGGGATGCACCATGGGCAGGTTGCGCAAGAGTGACACTGCAAAAACCTCAGCCAAAAGGTGAGTGCGCAGCAAGTGCGCGTTGAGCTGGTGCTCCGTGAAATCAGCACTTCGCACAAAAATCTTAGCCGTCAGCCAGTCGTACGTAGAGTCAGTTGGAAGGAAGATGGGGTTGTCCTCAGCCGGAGTCTGCTTGAGCTGTGGGAGGAAGAATGGACATTTTGACTCACGTTTGATTCCGGCATGCGCCGCTTCATATAAATGTCAAAGAGACTGAGCTGTGATCGGAGGTGAACCGAACTATGTCCAGTAGCTCCTGCAGAACCTCTCTACCTCACTTTATTTATTTCTTTATTTATTTTTAAATCTTAAAGTACATTGGCGTCAAGTAATGTCACCTGAATGGCAATAGGCATCAGCTTATCATCGGGCCTTTTGTGAAACAGGACGAGGGGCGCCATCAAGTACTGCTGAATCCCTTGGATTGTGTTCGCCTGCAGTCCGTCCAGGTGTTTGTAGTCACACAGGTATATGTTGCCTCGCTGTTTGAGGGCCAAAAATTATTTTGGAGCGTAGATCGTATATGGGCTACTGAATAAAGTACAACGCTGACATCTTGTGCCTTTGACAAAACGGTCCTTTCATCTTCAAATCGAAAGTCAAAGAATGTGATGAGGACTATGAGACAAACTCTTTACCTTCAACTCATTGGACAAGTTTGAGCCATTGGGAATGAAGACCATGTCGTCAGTCACGGGGAAGTTGCCGGGCAGAGTTTTACAACGTCGAATCAAGGTGGGATGGGGGCCGTTTAGGTACTGGTAGGCAAAAAAATCATCCTCCTTCCAGTGTTGCTGAACATAATCTGGGAAAAAGTTTTCCGTCACCATACAAGAACGCCCAAGAATTTCAGCTCCCAGCTGGATCATTTAGGACTCTTAAATGTGCAATGTCTACAGTGAATAACCAACTTGATTTGACTAAATTAGTTGCTGGATTTGAAAAAAAAAAAACAACGCTCTTTTTCAGCAGGGAAAACCCGTAAAGTACCTGATAAGGGTGTGTCTTTGTTGCGGAACACGTCATTGATATCGTCGAGACTTGTCCAATTTTCCTGGTTGTCGGTCAAACCCTTTAGCTGAAGCTCAGCCACCCTTGGGGAAAGAAAACAAGCAAGTTTATCATCGCAAATAAGTAGCAGTTTTGAGTCAAAAGTCTTCATCGACGATTAAACTACCGTATTTTCCGCACTATAAGGCACACTGAAAAGTCTTCCATTTTCTTAAAAGCTCACAGCGCGTCTTAAAATCCAGTGTGGCTTGTGTATGGTCATTAGGGTAATATGTCAACCCCAAGATGGCTCCTTGCTGGAGACATGCTAACAATATTATAACTTGCTGTTGGTTCAGTGAACTGTGTCACTGCTTTATTAAGTTTTTGTTGCAGCTCCGAAAAAAGGAGAGCTCTGGTGTTGTTTTTTTAAAACGCACACTTTGTTAATGGTTTTCAGTCTCAAAAAATACAGGTACGTCTTTGTCCGTCTCCGTGCCTTCTCTTCTTCCGTTCAACTCGAGAGGCGTTCATGACCGCCTCCGAAAAACGTAAATTAACGATTCCTTCAATGAAATAATGCCAAAATAAATTCTGTAGGGGGGCTATAGAATTGATTTTGTGATTTCCTCGCTTGATTTTCTGTTTTGATGCATTATTTTCAATTTTCGTAGTTTCATTGAAGTAATCGTTAATTTACGTTTTTCTGAGGCAGTCATGAACACCTCTCGAGTCGAACGGAAAGAGCGTAGCTCCATCTCGTGGATGCATTGTAGATTGCGTTTTATAATCCAGTGCGTCCAACATATGAAAAAAAATGACAAAATAGGCCATTCATTGAAGGTGCACCTCATAATCCAGTGCGCCTTTTAGTGCGGAAAATATGGTACATAAAGGAGACCTCATTTCAGAACAAAGAAATAACGTCAACCGTCATCCGTCCCACCAAATTGTTCAGTTTCGGAGGGCCCTTACGCTGTCGCTGCTGTGAATGCAAACTCCGTGGCCTTGGTAAAGGAGAACTGGACCTCATCCGGGAGGGTCATCGCACCGTCTGCCTTTATGGAGTAGGCCACTCCTGGGGCATAAAGATCCCAGCTGTTGGGCAGTTTAAAGTTTAACGTCACCTTTTCGAGTCTGCTTTAAATGTCACAAGGACATGTTGGAGGAATTCTCCGTGAACGCTCACTCATAGTCAACAGTTCGCTGACTTAGCTCCTGCTCCCTTGCGTATTGGCCGAGAGGGTGGCTTTCGTCAAAGATTCTCAGAGCTTGCAAAAAATAAATAAATAAATAATTTGGCAGGAGGATTTTTTTGCATGTATTAAATAGATGATGGCAAACAAGCACGTGAATGAACCAACCTTTGCCTTCTCTGAAGCGGTGAGTCTCACTGTCACTGATCCAGCAGTAGATGGGAAAGGTGTAGATGTCATTCTCGGGTGATTTGATTTCCACCTTGTCGGGGAACCAGGCGTCGCCGGGCAAAATAAAAAATTGCCGCTTGTCGAGTGAAGAGTTGAAAAAAAATCCCTGTGCACATGCAAGAGCTCCGAGCTTTACAGTGTATTTCCCCAAGCGCCATATTTTTGTCCATTGCAATGTCATGTGATCAGTCCATTGAGTGATACCGATTGCCATACTGTACAACCTTTCATCGTGTGCTTTAGACATACCGTAAATTGACTCGTGCTAAATAATCTCACGCCAAATCGCTAGTGTGACTTTTTTTAATTTTTTTTTTTTGGGTCATTGAACACCGTGCACGCAGCCTAAACTGTACATTGTTGAAGTGCTTTCTCAACACTCCCCTTTTGAAGATGAAGGGCACTGGATGATTTTTTTTTTCTTTTTTTAACGTTACGTCATATGCATGTTCACCATATTCAAAATCAGCGCAGAGCCGATTGTAAATAAAACGTGTTTTTGAGTGACAGACAGTTTGGATGTGATTTACTACCCGGCGTCGCCACCAATCTAAAGTGACGCTTCACCAAGCGGCGTTGCGCAATAACAGATGGGGGGGAGGGGCAGGCACGTCTGCCGCCATTTTAAGTGCCAGTCCGATGTGCTAGCGGTGCTAAAACATGGATGGATGGCTAATATCACATCATATATTTCCGACGCTTAGATGGCCACGCTGTTCTCGACGTTCTTTGGATCCAGGTAAGTGTAAGGGATCTCCAACGTTTTGTTCCTGTTGTTGATTGTGGTCGACAACTTGTCAAGCTCGGCTTTGTAATCCTTTTGCAGCTGGCGGGGGATCTCCTCTGTGAAATGGTCTTCTGGGTAATGTCCGAGGGGGACCTGTTGACACAACCGATGCTGGTTAAATGAATGTATGAGAGTTCCATAACCAAATAATTCGCTTTTGATTTGAGACACTGGACCACTTATCTACTGTCAGGCAGAAACTCGAGGGTGCGTGTGAGTCTTGCCAACCAGTCATGTACTTTGTGGAATATGTGTCCCCTCCCCCAAGCCCCACTCCCACCTGAGGTTAAAAAGTAACGATGTGCTATCCGTTGCGGTGTATAAGAGTTACAGGTAGAGCTACGTTCCTCCTCTCACCCGTGGTGACTACTTTTGGGTAGTGACTTCCCGAGGACAACGAATCTTGTTTGTCAGATCAAGTTTGTTCTACTTACAAAGTCAGAGGACTGCCTGCTGAGCAACCAGACGACGGCCATTCCCTGAACGGTCACGTTGATAACAGGCAACGTCTGCAACATTGTGGCCTCGCTGGTTGTCCCCTTTTTGGTTGGGGGAGGACGCTGCAGGGTCGGGGGGGTGTTGGGCATCCAGCCACCGTAGTCAAACTGCAATGGGGGTTTGCAAAGTGCGTCGTTTTACACCTGTTTAGACCAAAAGGAATGCCGGGGTTTCTCACCTGTCCGCTGTTTACAGCTGCATGCTGACACGAGCTCGTAAACATCACCATGGTCGTGAATTTGATCAGCTCTGACACGGTGGTGAAACTCTGAGGGATACCTGTGAAAAAACGCGACATGTTTGAGCCGCTGAATTAAAAAAAAAAAAAAACGTGCAATCGGGGAGTAGCGTGAAGCGGTGCGGGATCACCTGATTGTGGCTGGGACAGGAATCCGTGTTCGAAAATGTCCCCGATATAGGTCTGCAGTTCCGAGTCTCGCTGTATGTCGTCGTCACTTTTGTAGTAGTACTTGATCACTCCCTGCACAAATCTTTGGAGAGACAAATTGTATATTTGCACATGCATTCTGCAAAACGCTTAATAGGTCATGAGAAAATTAATTTCTATACTAAAATCTAGATCCTCAAAAATGTGTTCGGTTCTTCCTCGGGCCCCATCTACAAAGTCACATAGAGCAGCGGTTCACAAACACCGGTCCTCGGTCCGTTTGGGACCGGGCCGTATAAAGGCAGACCTGCGAGCAAATTCACTCCATCAGACGTGACGTGGGGAAATGTGCGCGACTCTTAGTCAATCGGAGTCCTCCTTTTAACCTTGGTTGGAAAGCTGAAATCAACCGAATCCGCCAATAAATGAAAGAGCGGGCAGTAAACAGGGAGCGACAGTAACAAATTGACAACGCGGACATCGAAACGCATAGCTGCTGGGCAGTCATGACTTTCGAAGATGAAGCTATTTTGACAAGAGAACTTCCTCCCCGAGCTAAGTCGACAAAAACAAGGGAATACAAGAAGCCCGTTGAATCATTTGAACAAACGGCACCCAATTGATCAAGCGGAAAGCATGAAAAAACGCGAGCAGGGTTTGCGCGGGCTGCCCACGTAAACATTAGCAGTTTAGTCGCTAATAACTAGCCGGCAGCCACCAAAAATGAGCTTCAAGCAATCGTGTCATCTTTGGCAAGTACGCCGCATGAAGAATCGTAACTTCAAAAATGATTGTTGACATTATAAGGCGTATTTATTCTTCCGAATCGGTCCATTTCTTAATAGTTCGCCGTTTTACTTTATTTCATTCTACATTTGTTGTGCAGTAGAATAACACTGTTTGAAAGGAATGAACGTTCATAAAATGTTTAACCACTCTATTATCTTTGCTGTCAGTAGCACTGCTCTAAAATTGGCCATTTAAAAGCAATGAGAAAAAATCTCAAGCGGTCTGTGACACAAGGCTGGGCACCACTGATGTCGAGACTGGTATTGTATTATTTTTCTTGAGGAGAATGGTTAGCATACTTAAACATGATGTTCCAAATTTGGAGTCCATCATCCCTGTAGTAGAAATTTGGAACGTCCTGCATGTCGCGATCAGCAATGTCCTCATGGATGCAGAGAGATCTGTAGGTGATCGAGGATTGTGATCTTGCCAATATTTTCGTCACACTCTCTCCCCCAGAAGCCGCAAACTGAGGAAGAGTCCAATATGTGACATAAATGGAGCGTCTTCAACGTCATCTTGAAAACAAAGGTTGACTTTTACCAGAGTGAAGCTTCCTTTGGGTCCGATGAGTGTATCCCGAGCTTGTTCGTTGATCTGCAGAGTGTAGCGAGTGTGGGGTACGAGGAGCTAAAGGGATACCAGGGATAACCATGAAAGGAAAACCTGATCCAATCCGGATGTCTTGAGCAATAACAACACTCAGTTGGAAACCAGATTGGGAGAACTCCAGTTACCTTGTACAGGGGATGCACCATGGGCAGGTTGCGCAAGAGTGACACTGCAAAAACCTCAGCCAAAAGGTGAGTGCGCAGCAAGTGCGCGTTGAGCTGGTGCTCCGTGAAATCAGCACTTCGCACAAAAATCTTAGCCGTCAGCCAGTCGTACGTAGAGTCAGTTGGAAGGAAGATGGGGTTGTCCTCAGCCGGAGTCTGCTTGAGCTGTGGGAGGGAGGATGGACTTTTTGACTCATATTTGGTCGTCCATGCAAAAGCAAGCAACCCGTATTGCTGTTGCTCAAACATGTATCCTATCTATCCTCCCCTGCAATAATTTGCGAGATTGGCTGCTTTTACAGCGACTCCTATACTTTTAGTTCTTCTACTTTTCTTCCTTTCATAACTTTGCTGCTGTAAATTGGGAATTTCTCCATTGTGAGACAAATAAAGGTTTTCTTATTCTTTATATATATATATATATATATTAAAAAAAATACTTTTTTTTTTCATTGATGAAGGGTTCGGTGAATGTGCATATTAACTGGTTGGGTTCGGTACCTCTAAGAAGGTTAAGAACCACTGAGTCAAAGAGACTGAGCTATGATCGGAGGTGAGTCGGACTATTTTCAGTACCTCCTGCAGAACCGCTCTACCTCACTTTATTTATTTATTTATTTTAAATCTTTAAGTACATTGGCATAAAGTAATGTCACCTGAATGGCAATAGGCATCAGCTTATCATCGGGCCTTTTGTGAAACAGGACGAGGGGCGCCATCATGTACTGCTGAATCCCTTGGACCGTGTTTGCCTGCAGTCCGTCCAGGTGTTTGTAGTCACACAGGTATATGTTGCCTCGCTGTTTGAGGGCCAAAAATTTATTTTGGAGCGTAGATCGTAGATGGGCTACTGCATAAAGTACAATGCCGAGATCTTGTGCCTTTGACAAAACGGTCTTTTCATCTTCAAATCGAAAGTCAAAGAATGTGATGAGGACTATGAGACAAACTCTTTACCTTCAACTCATTGGACAAGTTTGAGCCATTGGGAATGAAGACCATGTCGTCAGTCACGGGGAAGTTGCCGGGCAGAGTTTTACAACGTCGAATCAAGGTGGGATGGGGGCCGTTTAGGTACTGGTAGGCAAAAAAATCATCCTCCTTCCAGTGTTGCTGAACATAATCTGGGAAAAAGTTTTCCGTCACCATACAAGAACACCCAAGAATTTCAGCTTCCAGCTGGATCATTTAGGACACTTAAATGTGCAACGTCTACAGTGAAAAAGCAACTTGATTTGGCTAGATTAGTTGCTGGATTAAAAAAAAAAAAAAAAAAAAACAAAGCTCTTTTTCAGCAGGGAAAACCCGTCAAGTACCTGATAAGGGTGTGTCTTTGTTGCGGAACACGTCATTGATATCGTCGAGACTTGTCCAATTTTCCTGGTTGTCGGTCAAACCCTTTAGCTGAAGCTCAGCCACCCTTGGGGAAACAAAACAAGCAGCTTTTTCATCACAAATAAGTAGCGGTGTTCAGTTTAAAGTCTTTATTGACAATTAAACTACATAAAGGAGACCTCATTTCAGAACAAAGAAATAACGGCAGCGTTAACCGTCATCTGTCCCACCAAATTGTTCGGTTTCGGAGGGCCCTTACGCTGTCGCCGCTGTGAATGCAAACTCCGTGGCCTTGGTAAAGGAGAACTGGACCTCATCCGGGAGGGTCATCGGACCGTCAGCCTTGATGGAGTAGGGCAAACCTTGGGCATAAAGATCCCAGCTGTTGGGCGGTTTAAAGGTTAACGTCACCTTTTCGAGTCTGCTTTAAATGTCACAAGGACATGTCGGAGGAATTCTCCGTGAACGCTCACCCATAGTCAACATTTCGCCGACTTAGCTCCTGCTCCCTTGCGTATTGGCCGAGAGGGTGGCTTTCGTCAAAGATTCTCAGAGCTTGCAAAAAAAAAAAAAATTCAATAAATAAGAATAATTGTCAGGAGGATTTTTATTTTGTTGCAGGTATTAAATAGATGATGGCAAACAAGCACGTGAATGAACCAACCTTTGCCTTCTCTGAAGCGGTGAGTCTCACTGTCACTGATCCAGCAGTAGATGGGAAAGGTGTAGATGTCATTCTCGGGTGATTTGATTTCCACCTTGTCGGGGAACCAGGCGTCGCCGGGCAAAATAAAAAATTGCCGCTTGTCGAGTTCGATCAGAAGCAGACGTCCGAGGGAGTTTGGGCAGGAAACGGTGTAAGTGGTTACCTAGAAAATTTGTTTGAAAATATTAGGCGCACCATGATGTTTAAGGGAAAACTCCTTTTGTGTTAGCACCGTTCCAGAGGAGAACTTGGCAACTGCAGAAAAACGACCTGAACATGGCAAGGTACAACTAAGCTAGCAGCAGATATGAGTGTGTTAGCATGAGGCACATCGTGGGGAAATAGGGGCTCGAACAAAGTGAGGGCGAGCAGGTCGACTTACTAGATGCTAGCTAGTGACAAAGTGCCAACCACTACTGACAAGCCCCAGTGGACAACTTTATGTGACCAGACGCCAGATGCGGTTTTCACAATAGGCCTAGATCTTCTGGTTGTGTGGGAGGCTTTTGGTAGACCAGATCTGACCTCGACCAGGGTACAGAAAACTAAGTCCTTTATAAGAATCATAATTTCTGTCCCCTACTGCTGCCAAAGTGGCCCGCTGTTGCCGAAGCGGGAAAAGAAGTCTTGCCAGTTGCCACCAGCGGTATGACAGCAGATGTGTTAGTAAGACACCTCGGGACTGTGCCAAATTCTTAAAAAAATGCACAATTTGTCTCTTTTAGACACAGCTTGGTAAAACAAACATGAGTCGATTAAAATGGTGCTTAAAGAAAGACACAATTTTCAGAAGGGTGTTGTCTCATACTGAAAGGTGTGTTACCTGACCTAATCTGATTGAAGTAAACATGGGAGGGACAAAACAAAACACTGGAGACAATTTCACCTTCAAGAATGAACCAGGGTAACATACATACTATAACGTTAGCACCGCAACCAAAACGAAGCCTGTGCTGAATAGCAAATATGATTCAGCATGAAAACCCATGTGATGGTTATGAATATTTACATTTATTTATTTTTCCTATGCTGTGTTTATAGTTTAGGGTTGTTCGACACTTAACGTCAAGGCAACAGTGCTCTTTTTGCCAATCTAGAATTGAAATATGAAGCCGCAGTAAAAAAAAAAAAAAAAAACCTACTTTTAAGAATAAACTAAACCGTTGAAGAAATGTTATGAAGAGACTTATGCTTTTATTTTTTTTTATGATCCAGTTTATAAACCTAAACATCTAAACCGTCCATACACCTTTTCTAGTTGCGCTGATAATGCAGGATTTGTGAGGCACTTGATTGCCAATAAACCAACTTTTTGGCATTTCCTGTGGAACTTGTAGGACCCCCCCCCCAAAAAAAAAGTCATTTCAACATAGTGATCTTTTTTTTTTTTTTTTTTTTTTGTCCCCCTACTTACCGCTCCTCTGAATATCACCAAAGACCTCAGCCACGTGCGGTCACTCTCGCCATCTGTGCCCACCAGTTTAATGTGCACAGGATTCACAGTGGTGGCGTGAACTCGATTGCCGGTGTAGACGGTCACCTCATAATCCACCATTGTTATTTCGGAATGATGAAGAAGTCTAATAAGGGTAAGACGGTTCTTCTTCCGACCAGATACAATCGGCCACAGCGGATTTTTATATACCTGTTCCGTATGCCAAAATTTGTGGGAGGTACCTGCGTCAGGCTGTTTGGAAGGAATGTCAGACGTGTACGAGCAGTGGTCGAGTCGGGTTTGCGACTGTTGATTTCTCATGAGGGATGAGCCCTTTCCACATTAAAATCTGGTTTGCACGCAAATGTAGTAAGAAGTACCACAGTCGCATCACAACGCTGAAATGTGTTCTTTTTTCAGATGCTTTATACTTTCATTCGCAACTGTTCGATTAAGGCAGACTAAGGGCAAATACAAAACGCGTTTCGTTCGAAATAGGTTTTATTAAATGACTTTTAAAAGAAGAATGTAATGTCTCGTCAGGCAAAGGGGGAAAATGCACAAAAAAAAGCTGCAGAAAAAAGTTAGGTGTGGTTTTAATAGTACAGAAACCCATTGAGTTGGAGTCTCAGAATATTTCCGGTGAGTATATTTTGTGACAATTTTAGATGAATATGACTCAGAATTGATCTTGATTTCGCTCTTTGGTGCTTTCTACCGTATTTTGTTATTGATTTGTTGCTTTACTGCACTTTGTATGCAGCGATGGCTGTTTGAAAGTGCTCTAAAAATACAGTTGAGTTGAGAATACTGTATGCTAATTTAACTTTAGCTGCTCTATTTAAACAGTGGCAAAATGCAACGGATTATTGCTGTGGTCAACCCCGCCTCCACTCGCAAAAGTCAAACCAACCGCCACAGCGATTGTTATTACTGTGCATTACGGTAATCTACCGCTTGCAAGCGAGGTTGGCCACTTTCAAAATAAAAGTTCTCCAACTAATGCATGCGCGTCAGTGGTTTGGATTTAATATAACTTCACAAAATAACTTCTCAGCGGTCAGGAAACGTTGAGTTCACCCACGAAGAATGAAAACTGTCTCAGAATAGCATGAAGAAACATTCTGAAGTTGTGACGGAAACCAAAATTAATACTGTATTAACTCTACATAATTAATTTAAAATTTACTGGATTAAAACAAACAAACATGGCCCACTTGGCCACCCAAGGTCTTCAACCAAAGTATTATCATTAAGATCTGATGTTACATTTCAAAAGAAAAGGCCTCTGAAATCAGCATTTTAACCTTTATTAGTTGCAAAGCTTTTATTTTGAAGGTAGTTGCTAGCGGCAGATTACCGTAATGCAGACAATCCATGTGGCGCTGGTTTGACTTCAATTTTGCGAGGTTTATTTATTTATTTATTTATTTTTATTTTTTTAATCGATGCAGTAAAACGCTTTATGCATTCTTTCCCAAATGGATCAACAGCTCGGGTCACACCAGAGGGAAAGTTAAAATCAAGAGTTTGATGGGCATCAGTTTGACGAGCCCTCAAGCCAGGATTCAAAACTGTGAGGCGTTCACCCAGACAAGGTGTGCCGTCGCCAAAGTCGTTCGGCTTCCCTGCCAAAAAACTATGAGGTTACCCAACAACAACAGCATAATTAAAAATCAACATTTTTTCAGGTCTTATTGCTGGCGGTGCCAACTTGCTGTCATGACAGGAGTTACTTGCTGCTCTCAGCTAGCAAAAAAGGGCCCCAAAAAATGGTCGTCTGTGCAGCTGGGTCCAATAATTTATATTGATACAAAAAAAAAAAAAAAACAACAAAAACAACAACCTGATCATTTTGACAGTTTTTGCCAATTGGATATTAAAACTTGTAGGACGTTCACCTTGATAAGGTGTGCGGTGGACCAAGAGGAAGTAGAACAAAAAGATGACTGTCGTTAGGGTTCCCTGCCAGGACATAACAAGGTTACGCAACAACAAGAGCATCATCCAAGAACGGCGTTTCTCAACTTTCAGTGCTGGTGTTTTCGACATGGCAGGAGTTACTTGCTGATCTGGTATTGCAAGATTGATTTGTGTTTTGTCGTGAACTCTTTCATCCCTTTAGGGCCGTTTGACCCCACACTAGGTCGTCTTCCTTCTTGGTGTTGGGCTATTTGGTCAGGTGAGAAAACAGGAATCAAACTGAAGTGCATGTTTTGGGTGGGTGTGGCCTGTGTTTGCATGGAAAGGGGCCAATTTCTTAAATTTAAACTGTCTTTATTTTTTCTCTTCATTTTAAAAGGCAATGCAGCGCAACCAGGACAAAAACCTGTCTTTCACGTGGTACTCAGCTGATGCAACTTCAAGGCTTCCATTGTACACAGATACAAATCTCCTCTTTAACACTCCACACCCATGACAAAGTTTCTGTTGAAATTAGAAGCGAATGCGATGACGTCAACGGCCCCCAACACTATATTGCAGTTTAAAAGTGAAAAGCAGAAGTTTGTTGCATCCTCTCTTGCCTTGCGTTGTGTGTTCCCGGATGGCTTTTCTCTTTTCCAATCATTTGGACATGCCACTATTACAGCATTTTTTAATTGTAGCTCTGTCTTTGCACAATTTGCACACTTCCGTTGGTGATCGGTATTGCCGCACGGTTGCACACTATTGCATAATTATTTCTTAATAACTGTACTTTGTGTTTTTGACATAGTACTGGACTCAAAAGACACCACGCACTGGTGAATCGTGTGCTCTAACAGAGATACTTGGCCAATAAAGATGATTCTGTTTTGTTTTTTTTCAGCCAAGTCTGTCAATTGGAAAACATGTCAAATCCATTCTCCTACTCCAATCATCGTACTCTGGAACTACTTTCCTCTACCCCCGCAAGAGTGAAGAGATGGCCCAGTGTTCAACGACCAGAACCAAAGACCCTCCCCTCAACTACTGGTGGGTCTTTTGAATCACTCTTGGTTTGATTTATCACATTTCAACTTATCACCAGTTTGCCTTGGGAGACCCTATACGGGGCATATACAACAGTAGCCCCTTGGATCATTCTGACATTCCAAAGCATCCACATCATTCAGGTAGTGATTCACTGATAGTTGATAAGAATAATAAGAATAAGAAAACCCTTATTCGTCTCACAATGGAGAAATTTCCAATTTACAGCAGCAAAAGTTATGGGAAGAGGAAAGTAGAAGAACAAAAAGCATAGGAGCTGCTGTAAAGGACTCAATTTTTATTTTTCAGCCACCCCCTAGCTCAAGTTTCTCGATGTACAATAATCATCCATGAGAACGATTCAAATATGAGGTTTTTATGTGACCCGAGAGGCTCATTTCCCCCTCAAATATTTTGGTAACACAGGACTATATCATTCGAAACAAGCAGCCCCACTGTGTCTTTTCAATTTTCAGAGCCAAGCTAAATGCATAAAAATGCTCTTAAGATGGATCCATTTTTTATTCATGATGGTATCAGAAAAAAAAAAAAAAAAACACCAAGAATATGTACATAGTCTCTCCCGAGTGACTCAGCCGCTCCTGTCAGATCTGAGGCGAAGGGACAGTGAGGAGTCCTGTGGGCTTCAGCTTGTTGATCCCTCCATCGAGGATGCAAACCCGCGGGAAGTTCACCTTGACGAGGTGTGCAGCAAACTGGGAGGAAACACAACCATGCAACATTTAAGAAAAACAAATAAACAGAAAACGTGTACGATACACGCAGTTGGCTTTTCTGGCCTGAACATTTTGCGTAGCCGGACACGAATCATACTGCTTTGTCAAAACAAGGCAAATGTAACCAAGTAACCTCGAGGAACCTCGAATCACCGGTTCAATATAGGAACAGAAGTGACGTCATTACGTTCCATCAAACAAGGACCGGGGATCGTCTCCAAATTGCCTGCCTGTGCGTTTTTTTTTTTTGTTTGTTTGTTTGTTTGTCTGTTTGTCTGGGGGGCGGCCTTACCGCAGAAGCGCTTTTCATGGCGTGGCCGATGACGACGACAACCCGTCCTCTGTAGTTCTGGAGGGCTCCCGTTGCTGGACATTGCAGCACCTCGTCATCGGTGCCGAACGCCGTGCTGAAGGGAACGTTGATGCTGCCGGACATGTGGCCTCTGCTGGTGCGGGTTGCCGTGAGGTTAAAGAGCATTTCACATTTCAACCATTATTTGGAATTTGATGAGACTATAAGGGAAAAAAATACAAATCCAATCATCCGAAAGAAATTATGTCTAAAATAGGAGTTTAAATCTATCAACGAAACCGGTTGGACAAAAAGATCTTTCATGATTGCTTTGGGGTGAAACCTATACCCCGCAGTGTACGGTAATTCACTTTCTAAAACAATACAACTGTTACGTATATAGTAATTTGAGCAACTGTGAGAATAGCAAAGGAAACTGGTGAACCTTATAAGACAAATGAAATGATTCCAATGCCCCATTGGAAAAACAAATTAAAATAGACTACTGTATTTCCACACAAAAAGGCGCACTGGATTATGAGGCGCACCTTCAATGAATGGCCTATTTTGTAATTTTTTTCATAAATTGGACGCACCACATTATAAGACGCAATCTACAATGCATCCACTAGATGGAGCTACGCAATGAATGGCCTATTTTGTAATTTTTTTCATACATTGGACGCACCACATTATAAGACGCAATCTACAATGCATCCACTAGATGGAGCTACGCTCAAGGAAATGCCAACAGAAGGATCAGATGTCAGTAAAACCTATTTAATAAAGCAGTTCACTTAACCAACATCAAGTTCTAACATTGACTCGTTAACGTTGAACTCTCTTGCCGCTGCTCTATTTCTATGTTCAACTGCGTAACCCGATCGCCTTAAGTTTGAATTCTGCGTTGGAAGCTTGTCTCTAGCAAGGAGCCATTTTGGGGGTCGAGACATTACCGTAATAACCATACACAAGGCGCATCGGATTTTAAGGTGCGCTGTGAGCTTTTAAGAGAATGGAAGGCTTTTTAGGTGCGCCTTTTAGTGCGGAAAATACGGTAACTGGATTCATTTTAAAAGCTGATTAGATGAGATAAGAAAACATACAAAAAACAGTGATGACTGCTGTTGTTCCGGCTCATGTTCCAGCTTGTGCACAACATTTCTTGATGATGAAATCTGGGGAAATTTAAAGGAAGCAAATTTCACATCAACCCTGGTAAGGATACTCCTCTGCACTGCGAATGTCAACAGCAATAATTCTTGGCCTGCTGGCTTTGCTGCGGTTATTTGCGGCGTATGACATCTCGCAGAGGTCGATGAAGTCCTCTGCCGAGATGCGAGGGGACACTTCAGCTTTCAGCTCCAGCAGCACGAGAGGCTCGCGAGACTGCAAAGAAAATCAGATTACTCGAATACCTCATTTTCTGTCATGTGTTTGTTTTAATGCTGGCTACCACTTAAGGCGCTACGTATGACCCACAGACAGAAAAGAAAGCATGTCCAGAAAATGTACCGTTGTTTGCACTATGCATTGAAAATGAACAACGAACCGAAGAAACAAGAGCGGTCAAATATCTTTTAGACCCAGCGCAAATCTAGCGCAAAGCACAGTTTAACTGTGTGAATGGGAGAAGTTTTCTTTCTTTTGTTATTTTTCGTAGAGGGGCACTGTTAGAATGGGGTGTGTGCGCCGTTGTGGGTGTGAACACAGCCACCTTGTTTGCCAGTCAACGGCAGCAGCGCCCTTCATTCTCTTTAAATTCAGCGCAGAGGGAGGCGCCGACTCGCTGGCGACTTTTACTCAAATGTGAGGACATATACTCACGAGGTCCGTCTTGGGAAAATCTTGATCGTCAGACGAGTAGCGCGTTGTGGTTTTTCCAAGGCCGTTGTCACCGGAGACCTTTGGTGGTTGCGCATGTTGTCTGTATGTTGCACTTTTTGGTGTCCAGAAGAAGAAGTTGATGGATTCACGGACGCAGCGTTCAATGTCAATTTCTGTTGGGGGGGAGGCGGGGGGGGTAAAAAAAACAAATTGAACCAACAAGCTGTAAATTGGCTATGCTAACTAGATTGCAAGTCATCAAAACATCTCGAAGCACCACCTTAAAAAAACAAAAAGACAAAAGAAACGAGCGCCATAAAATGTTTCTCCTTGGTAGAGGTAATATAGTGACAACTCAAAGTAACTTTTTTGTTAGTCAAGCACTCTAGAAGGTACAATAAAATGGCTCAGTGACTTCAGCGATGCCCCTCATCGGTTTGAGCTTTATTTTGGAATCTGGTGTCCACTGATAAGCTGTCCACTGCCGTAACCGCTGTCCCTAAAAGGGTTAATGTTGTCGGTATTTTTTTTTTTTTTTTTTGACGAAACTACGTCATTGTCGTTCGACAACAGTAGCCGTGGTTTGTTGTTCACTGTCAAATCGACAAGCCGGAGACCATTAAGTTCGCTGCCCAACTCCTCTGTCAGAGACGGGATACTAATGTTCCGTGAAGGCCAATGCTGCCGCATCATCAATAAACAACCTCGACGTGCCGCTGCGAATCAATGAAGTCCCTAAACAGGGGAGACTTATGGTTAGCTCACTCGAGGCTCTGCGCCGAACAAAATGAGATTGATTGACCAAAGGCGTCAGGCGGTGATCGATCGCATCCTCGCAGGCACAATGTTGCAGCGCTAATCTTGGGCTTTTTTTTTTTCCCCGTCATGAAAGGTTATCATTAACGGTGACGCGATCGCATTATCGAATAAAGAGGCTTCCTGAAAATAAGTAGAAACGATTCATCTGTGAATTGAGCTTCATTGCATTGAGTGCACATCAGCAGTTTTCGAAAATGTAACAAGGTGACCTGTTTTTGTAACCTGCGATAGCTTCCAGACTTTGTATTGGATCCTGTCATTAAACATGTCACATACTGTCCAGTACAGGGTCTCAACTGGTCTCACCCTGGCACCCCCCCATTTTCAAGAATTAGCCATCACCCTTTTTCAAACACATCCTCAGACACCAAAGCCAAAGCCCCAATGTCTTAAACGTAAGCGAGGCATGATTCGACTCAATTTTCAAAAGTACGTTTTTAGTCCACCGATTTATTCCAACGATCACGGGGAGACTGACATCTCACTCCCCTTTCTTGCATACCAAAGAGGGAAACTTTCCGTGCTAGCTTGCGCAAGCTACGTTATGGTCATTGGGTTGATATAAAATGCTCAGTGCACGATTGTTGCCCTGGCTTTTATGTGATGTGTTCCAACATGATAGTAGTCAAGACATCTTTTCTAAATATCAAGTGTCACGTGCCATTTTTTTTTTTTTTTTGTGCAGCCTGTAATCATTGTCATCAATCAGTCGACCTCAGTGGATTGCTCTGCTCCGGCGTAAATGGTCCTGCGTCTGATTCCTTGACTTAATTCCTTAAAGGGGAAGTCAACCCCCCCAAATTTCCATGCAGCCCCACGAGTCTAAACACGGCATTCTGATTAATATGAGTTAAGCAGTCAAATCCTCCCATTTTTGTCCATCTCAGAGGGCGGCCATTTTGTCACTTGCTGACTGAAAATGACATCCCAGTTGCTCAGGGCTCAGGTAACATCAAATCACGTCTCAGCTTCAGAAAACAGGTGAGCTATGTTTAAACTAGTGGTGGCGTACAGAACATTTTTGGGGTTGACTTCTCCTTTAAGACGCCACCAAGAGCACCAGCTCCAGCGCTGTTACACCTCGGGTATACTGAAGCGGCAATAACAAGTCTGGCAAAAGCCCTCGCTCTTGGGAGATCTTGGCAAACGAGCTGGCTGCATCTTTTCATATTTTACCTTTATAAGGAGAACTGCCTCTGCCTTGCCGTCCTTCTGAGTCACGTGCGCATGTCAGGTCGTAAAACAGTATTACTTTGAGTTGGCAACAGGCAAGACGAGAGGTTGCTGGCCTTGGTTTCGTTGTTTTGTTTTGTTAGAAAGGCCAGCAGGATTCGGCAAAGCGGGAGCTTTAAGAGGGAGGTCAACCCAACCCCCGCATCCCCGAGCATTTTTGTACATTCTGAAGTTCACTGTGAATGCCATATGCTCACTCGGTGCCAGTCTTATGTTTGGGCGGAAGCAATGCTCCGTGCGAGGCCACAAAGAGGAAGCTAATTGCAAATCCCGAAGGCAAATATCAGGTCGTAAAACAGTATTACTTTGAGTTGGCAACTGGCAAGACGAGAGGTTGTTGGCCTTGGTTTCGTTGTTTTGTTTTGTTCGAAAGGCCTGAGGATTCGGCAAAGCGGGAGCTTGAAGAGGGAGGTCAACCCAACCCCCGCATCCCCGAGCATTTTTGTACATTCTGAAGTTCACTGTGAATGCCATATGCTTACTCGGTGCCAGTCTTATGTTTGGGCGGAAGCAATGCTCCGTGCTAGGCCACAAAGAGGAAGCTAATTGCAAATCCCGAAGGCAAATACGCACGTCAGCAACGTGGACAGCACCCAGAATGACTTCAAATACTCTTGTCAATCAGGAGAGCGGCTACCCTGCAGTCAAAACGGGGCCCGATGGTCAAGCCAGCTTGTCATTGCAGCGGAATTATTTGCAAACAGAACACACATGATGCCCCAAACTAAGCCAAGCCGGTTCTGTGCGGTAACAGCCAGCTGTCGAAAAAAACTTTTGTCCGTATAACGTTGCTGCAACCGGAGTGTTTTGGTGCCCGAGGCAACCCGCTTGCATCTCATTTCCACACAGAAGCAGACTGAACTTGCAATAGCAGATAAGGAGAAGGATTTCACGGAGGAGGGTTGCCAGTGCTTGCAGTGGTTTGAAGAGCTTTGACTTCAACTTCTGCTCAAGTGTGAAATTCAAGGCAGTTTGACCAAACTTGATAATACGGATCGCGTCAGTTCTCCGGTTTGGCTCAAAAAATATGTGTGAGTAAAAATGTCAAGATTTCCTGTTCTAATTACGTTTTGGTTTTTTTAAATATCCGTTAGGAAGAAAGTTAAATTCCAACCCAGGACAAAATCCGTAAAATAATGAGATCATGTGATTTTTTTTTTTTTTTAAAACAGTTCTCAGCCTTGACATATCTTTTCAACATATCACATGTGTGTTTGAACACATGAAAGAAATATTCTCATTGATCCAGGTCTTTTCATTCCAAGGGCTTTGAATCCACTTTTCAGTTTGTCTTTGAAGAGGTTTTGCCTCTCATCCTAGCAGGCCGCCTCAGTTCATGAAATTAGGCAAGTTCGGACAACTCTGTCCTTGCCAAGGACAAGCAAGGAAACAAGTGTTTCATGTTAAAACTGTGGGTTGTGTGGCTGAGGCCTTAAATAATATTAAATATAGAATTTAGAGATAAAACTGGTCTCATTACAGTTTGCTTACAATGTTGGTAATGTACTCTGAGAGCCGAGTCATTTTTTTTTTTCCCCAGGTGGTCGTGGCATAAAAGGCCCGAAATAAGGCCTCTTGTAATACATGTCAGTAGTCACCTGGCAAGTCAGAGAACAGCAGGATGCACTCGTTGAAGCCATTGGCAAGAAGGCGGTCCCTGAGCTGCTGCAATATGGCCATGCCGATGCATAAGGGGAAAGACGAGTTCCCCAGTAGCAGCGTGTCCCACAGGTGAAAGATCTTGTGCAGCGGGAACACATCTGCAAAGCCGGGGGGTGCGCATATGAACGAATTCAAAGAGACGGCGGCGGCGGCATGTGAGACAAACAGGATCGAGCCACCACAATGAAAACACTTTGTGTATAAAAAGGCATGATTTGCATATGTGAATTATACATCGGCTAAAGCGTGGTTGTATTTATGCAAAAAAAGGCCAGCCCAGAAAAGAAATGTGCTGAGGAAAGGTTGCCCATGGGGAATTTTCATGTGGAGGTGGTTTTCTGACAGAATATTTAACGTGGCTGTTCTATTTTTTTTATTTGTATTTTTTTTAATGATAGTTTTCACATTTGAAGGCAATCATCCACCTGTTTGGATCTCCTGCGGGTGCATTGAGACGTCGGGAGCGGCAGTCAACGCGGATACATGTCTATGTATGTACGTGACGAGAACACGACCCTGAAAAACTGGCTGGCGCTCGGAAGGTGGACATTAGCAGTCAGAGCAGGGAGATCCTGACGCTGGACTCTCTGCCTCAGGGGGATTGAGACAGAGGTAAGAAGGTCATGCTTCACACTCTTTTCCACCACAGCCGCGCGCTCGGTGAGTGCGCGCTTCTCATTCTGGGTCACATGGTGGAGACTCAACCAGAAAAAACAAAAAAAACATCCAGTTTGGACAATGACAGTGTTTCTATTCGTTTTGCTTTGATAAACCAGCACAGTTGATTTGAAATGGAAACCGTCAAGATGCCCTGATGTGAAGACTTGTGCTTGTAATTGACGGACGGGCATGGCATGAAACCATTTCGGAGTTACAGAGTCCCTCCATTTTCTGGGGCTTCAAAGAATTCAACACAGCTGCTCCATTGGCTTGAGTCATCCGAATGATTTTTACAAATTAATCAGTAGACTGACTAAAGGTCACCGAAATATGAAAAATAGCATATTTGCGGTGGAGTATCTGACCTTTTCAGGCTCGTTCATTTTTTGCTCCCCAAATGGAAGAAGACTGCCTGAGCCTACTGATGCTAATGGGCTTTGTTCACTGCCACCGCACATTCAAACCGTAGAGCCTTTCACATGGCTTTTCAAAGCCGGATGGGTTTTTTTTTTAGTTTTGTTTGGTTTTTTTGCTGTTGTTCTGTACAAACAGCACGACGTGGAATAGTAGGATGAAGTTGATACAGGAATTTTCTGTCCACGGGGGCTAGTATCAGAGCTGTAGTTGAGGAGGAACAACATCTGTGTGAAAAGCGGGGGAACACAAATGCCAACAAACTGGCTACCTTTGAGCGACAGAGATGAACATGCTAGCTAATGCGTACAAGAATTGTGCTCTGCTATAAAGTGGCTTTTAATAATTGTTTTAAATGTTTGCGTTATCATCACACATGCTAGTAGCGCTACAGACTCTTTGTGACGTGACAGAGAACCAGCCAATTTGGAAACTATCTAAAGTTTGCCACCGCAAACGGAGTTGCAACATGTTATTTTGAGTGTGTGCGTAACGTGTCTTGACTGGTCATTCGTCACAATGAAAATGACCATGTGAAGTCCTTACGCCTGCGGTGAGTTAAGTGGATGAACTATCAGTTAGCCTAGCTTCTTCGACAGCTCTTCTTTGTGTTTGCCACTTAACGGCCACACTTGGTACTACGGCACACATTCTTGTCTGCGTTGGTCAAGTACTACGCACAAAATAAAGGCAAGAACCCTTTTTTTGTTTTTTTTTCCCCTCATTGTGTGAGGTCTCTCAAATTCAAAAACTCAGAATTTGGAACATGCATATATAGTGAACCCCAACCTATATGCAGGCTACTATTCACATTTTTTCCCCTGTGGAACCTCTCAGTTGTGTTCTAAAATACTCCCCGATTTGCTTTTTTTTTGGTACCCTTTCAATAACTCTCTCAGGTGCCACAAGATGGAGCCTAAATTCAAGTTAACTAGAAAGCAGTAAGTGATGTCAACAAAGTACGTTGACTTGATCTCATCTTGGCCGAGAGGCTAAATTTCAAGAACCTAGTATTTTAAATATCACACCATGCTGATTTCGTCCACCATCTGATTATCTTTAGGGTTTGGGTCACAGTTTTATGGCATGATTTTCCTTCTCTGGGTTACGTACAAAAGGCAAAGACATACTTTCTTCCAGCTCTATCGTTTTGATGCCCCATTTTAAACTTCCAATTCAATTTTAATAGTCCTGTATTTATTTTTACAATACCAGAATCATGATCGTCCCTCTTGGGGAAATTCAAGCCAGTGTCACGAAATGAAGTGGCAATTTTGCCGGATGTCTGTGTAAAAGAGGCTTGTGGGCCAGGACGACTACTCACGTGTGAACATGGTCAGGAACCAAGGAATGGCATACAGCTGTGAACGTAAGAGAAAAGGGGGGGAAAACATGAGTGAGATAAAGAGACATTTGTTCTCCACAATGTGCTGAAATGAGCAGAACAACAAGGGGCTTTAGTCGGTGACTTAACTCTGCGAGCCCCGAAGGAACAGATAGCAAAGGAGGAGCAAGAACTGCTGACTTGGATTCCGAGTCACAATTAATCTCATTATACCCATTTGCAATCTCTCAATTCGGCCCCTGCGGACTCGTATAAATGCTAAATCAAGAGTACAACAATACATGGTGGTACACGGTTGGCTGCTAATGAAGCACCTGGACACGCCGCACCTGTCAGATGTACTGCGAAGTAAAAAGGCGGGGGGGTGGTATCTCTGGGTGTGGACGTGGACAGCTGGAGCTTATCTCGGCCACTCAGTTGACAGATAATTGAAGGGCGGGTGAGCCGAGGAGCATGCCGTTGTTTTACTCCGGGCACGCACCGCAACGATAAGCGCCGCCGGCTACAGCCTCTCTTTCAATCGGCAGAATGGCGAGTTGGGCCAGATTGGATTAGCGGAGCATAAATGGCACACCGGGGAGGGGGAGAGATGCAGCCAAATGGAAAGCCACCTGAATTAAACCTCTGGATACACATTATGTGAGGTCTGCTTTTGGCCCCAAGTTGAATTGGAGAGGACACCTTGCGCACGTCAGCAGTGCATCAAATTAACCTCGGGTTTATTTATTTATATTTGCTCAACGGGCGCCCGTTTCATCCTATTTGCGATTCGCTATTCAACTATTCACTTTTTTTCCCCTCTGGAACCTAACCTCAGCCATTCAGTAAAAATTTACTTGCATTTTTTTTTTTTTTGTGCGCTTTCTTTCATGCTCTCAAGATGCCACTGAAGAGACTAACATGCAAGTCTAGATTGTTAGAGAAATTCATTCTTTGCCGCAGGTGCGATGGACATGGACACCTCCAAGGGCATTTTTTTTCAAAATAAAATCATCTGGAAGGTTTTTTTTTTTCGAATGCAAAATGAGACTGAAAACACATTAAAGTGGAATCAGATCGGAGTTTGTAGTATTTACAGTTTCAATCAATCAAAACATTTCTTTTTCAAGGGCGACGTGGCAAAGACGGCGGAGCACAAATTACGTCACGACAATACAATGTATACGATTACAGTCTCAAACTACATCCAGCCAGAATGCAAAGCAGGAAATACTGACAATATCATGATATATTATAACAATAATATACATACAATAATATAAATAATAACCAAAAAATACTGGCATACTGAAACGGCAAATTACTCTTGTCATTGGCACACATGAGATGCCTGTCGTAATTTTATTAATTACGCATATTACAAATAAAAGAAAGCGAAGCGGTCCTAAAATTGAACCCTGTGGGACCCCCTTTTCTAAGATAATTAGGCCAGAGAGACAACATTACCAACCCTAACAGTCTGTGTGCGAGCTACAGTGTGGGCCCTTAAATATTGGGACATCGAAACATCTTTTAAAAATAATGTACCTCAGCTTGATTCAAATCTGCATTACGGTACCGCAATTAGAATTTTTTTTTCCCTTAAGCAGCCACAATAACTTCAGTTAACACAAAGACAAAACGGATACAAAGTTCGTTACTCGGCCTCTTGGTGAATGGAAGGTGTACGTTTTTTTGTTTTTGTTTTTTGCTTGCAATTAGGTCACCCGAGATATTTTGTCTTCAAACCACGAGAGTGAAAAAAACAGTTTTTCAGTCATAAGCCTGCGCGCTTGGATGAGGTTCAGAGAGGAAAATGTGATTCATAGTCCTTACAATCTAATGACTTGGATTGATATCAAGAATTTCAACATAATTCTGTTTGGACAATGTGAAAAAATAAAAACAATCCCTTTTGAGAGGGAATTCTGCAGTTTCATGTATGATATGCATGCTTAGTGTTAAAACTCAACAAAAGACAGATGTCTTTTTTTTCCCCAAATTAGACACTGAGCAGATACAATCCGCAGGGGTTGTTTAATCAAAAAGAGTGAAGCTGAAAAGAGAAGGATTAAATGAATCCCAGAATACTTGAAGAGATATAACAGCAGTCCCGTACTTTTTTTTTGTGTGTGTGTGTTAAATGCTCCCAAATCTTAAACTGCATCTTTTCAACACCAACCGGCCGAAATGAGATGTGAATGATGTTGTCTGTATTCTTACGTCAGGGATGAAGCCGATCTCGTTCAAGTGGTTGCTGAGTTCTGGGTCATGGAAGGCGATCATTTGCGAGAAGACGGTCAGGTACTCTGAGAAGACCCCCCCCCCCCAACCAAAAAAAAACCA